CTCGGAGGTGTTCGGAGCCGAGGGGTGAAGCACGGTGGCCATGCCACGGCTCCTGCTTCCCCCGCCGCGCCCCCGGCTTTTTTTTGGGTTGATAACTCAGTTTGGGGTTAATTCGGTGTCGCGCATCCTCGGGACGGGGCTGTGCCGCGGGGCTTGATCCCGGGAGAAAATGCTGGGAAGCGGGAGCGGGGTGGGATGAATCCCGGCGAGGATGCCGGCTGCGGTGACACCCAAGGGAATTGAGCCGGGGTGACATTTCGGTGGTCGCGGCCACCTCTTGCGCCTCGAGTCGTGGCCCAGGGGGGACGCGGCGTGGGAAAGGGGCAGCGTTTCGGGCATCGCCTGCAAACCGCGGGGATGAGGAGGCTGCGCCTTGGGATCGGGGGGATTTTCAGAGGGATGGGACCGCCAGCCTCGGGGTGTCCCCCCGGGGTGTCCCCACGCAGCCCCGCCGGGGATGGGGACGTCTCTCCTGCCACAGCAGCGGCAGAGCCGGCTCCGGGCTGGGGGTGCAGCACCCCAAAAGCGGGACAGGCGCTGCCCCCCTCCAGGCCACCGCAGGCACTGTCCCCTGCGGAGGAGCCCTGTGTCCCCCGGGGAGCCCCAGCGGGGACGATGGCGTGGCCGCGGAGGGCAGGGCACCCCGGGGACACAGCGGGGACACCCTGAGGCACCCCGAAGGCACGGCGGGGCATGCCTCCGGAGCCAAGGAAGGGACCGAGGGGACCCTTGGAGACGCATCGGGGCAGCATGGGTGGCAGAGCGTGTCCCCAGTGCTGGGAGAGGGACAGGGCGCCCCGGGGAGCATCTGCGGGGCTGGAGGAGGACGGGGGGCCCTGGGGACGCACCCGGAGCCCACCGCTGCCACTGGGAGAAGGACAGGGCGCCCTGGGTGCGCATCTCCGGGGCTGGGAGCAGGACAGGGCACCCTGGGGGTGCACCCGGAGCCCACCATGGCACTGGGAGCAGGATGGGGCACCCCGGGGGTGCACCCGGAGCCCACCATGGCACTGGGAGCAGGACAGGGCGCCCCGAGGGTGCATCTCCACGGCCAGGAGAAGGATGTGGCACCCTGGGGACGCACCCAGAGCTCCCCATTGCCAACGGGAGAGGGCCAGAGCGTCCTGGGGGTGCATCTCTGCGGCCGGGAGAGGGATGGGGCACCCCAGGGACGCACCCAGAGCCCGTCACCGCCACGGGGAGAAGGACGGGGCACCCCGGGGGGGCACCTCGGGACCCAGGGAAGGACGGGGCACCCCGGGAAGGGCACCTCCGAGGCCGGGAGAAGGATGGGGCACCCTGGGGAAGCACCCAGAGCCCATCAGCACCCCCGGGAAAAAGGATGGAGCACCCTGGGGGTGCAGCTCTGAGGCCGGGGCACCTCGGGAAAGCACCCAGAGCCCTTCTCGGGTGCCCGGGGGGCAGCGGCAGCCCCCGTCCCCGCGGCAGGGCCGGTGGCCCAGGCAGGCCAGCCCTTACCTGCCCGTTCTTGCAGAGGTCGGCCCACATGCTGGTGCCGTCGCCGCCGCGCATGAGGACGTGGTAGGTGAAGAAGTAGGTGCCGGGGATGGCGCAGGTGAACTTGCCGGAGGCGGCGTCGTAGCTGTTGCCCAGGTTGGTGACCACGTCGTCGAACTTGAGGACCTCGTAGCCCTCGTGGGGATTCTTGAGGCCGGCGTAGAAGGCGACGCGCGGCACCGTGCTGTAGGTAGCCGCGCTCACCGCACCCGTAGCCCCCGGGCCCGGTAAGCCCGGGGGTCCCGGTCGTCCCACTTCACCCCGTGCCCCCGCTGGTCCCGGCGGCCCCGGTGCTC